TGTACACACCGACTTAAATACACACGACAACTTAAAAAAGATATGAATTTATACCATTCTCCAGTTGACCTGAACACACACAAGAAATTCCATTAAAATTCGTCCAACCGTTTAGGAGGAGTCCAGTGACATACACTCCTACAGAAGAATTATATATATAAAGATAAAAGATTTGCCACTGAATAAGTTTCACATATTTTTAAAAAATTTATTGATAGAAAAAATATATAATCTAAACGAATTTTTAAACTCTTATTTGTCATAGTTTACAAAATCCAAGGATTATGACATTGGTGAAATTGGACTCGGTTCCAAGTAAATTTGATTTTTTATCAGATAGATCTGAGCTTAAAATCATTGTCTTAACTTTGTTACACAATTTAGGTGGATTAGATACAAAATTTACAACATTAAATTTATCTAAAATTACATATTACCTAATAAACCTAATGGACGCGCCATGCTTAACATTTGAACGAGATAAGAACCAGCTATCTTGTCAAAAGCCTAGGACGTAAACCTTTAAAAAGTTTCAATGTACGGGACCACGGACCCAAAGTTTCAAACAGCAAATTAAAATTAAAATTCAAAATATCTTTATTGAAATAGACACTTGCGCGTTGTTATGAAACGTCGAATTTTATATAAATAATTAATACATACCGGTTGGGAAAGCAGTTTCTGTTGAGAAGAGACCGGCAAGTAACTCAACGGTTACTCTATTTTAGCAATTGGCACAGATACATTTGTGAACAAAGACACTTACTATTTCGCCACTCGCTTCAGCTGTCTCCAATGCCACCTCGACCCTGACCGAAGTACCCCTTAGATGAGAGGTAGCCAAAGTGTCTACACAAGTAGCATCCCAAACAAGGGCTTTGACTCTCTCAAACGATCAGAGGCAGGCCGTCGGGTCTCTTACCATCGTCGCGATGATGAAAATGCCACAGGGCTCTAAAATAGATGAAACATTAATGATAGCAAGAGCCCTACGCATGATGTCGTTCAGGGAACCGTGGCGGGAAAAGCGGGCAGAACTTTTTTGACATGAAAGCACGTGGAGACCAAATCGTCTATATTGACACCACAATGGCATTGGTGTGGTTAACAAATCGGTGCCCCCATACTACGGCAATGCGTAAACTTTCATCGCCACTAATGTGCCCAAGTTACTTGATGGTAAAGCATGAAACAAATAACTTGATTCTTTAGATGACACGCCTAGGAAACGGGCACGCTTTAAATTACTTTCAAAAGATTTAAACATATCGTTCAGTACTCTCTGCACTGAAGGAATATCCCACTGTTGGTTTGTAGGTTTACTTCCATTGGGATATTTTCGTTGAAGCAGATAAACACATAAATACATATAACTTATCTTTTAACCTATTAGGTAGATAGCCGTAGTATTCATTATTTCTATTTTTTTAGCAAGATGTTATGTTGTATGACCATGTACCCGTAGTGAACAATTGTTAAATTTTGTAGAGCTAAGATTGGTAACGTTAAAAGGTATTATTAAATATGGGTAGAACTATAACGGGGAAACGATTAAAAGTAAATAGGAGAAAAACTATATATTATTTATTAGCATTTCAAATTAGAGACCTGCTCAACGCGAAATAGATTACCATTTTTTCCGGAATTTGGACAACTAGAAAAGAATTCAACATTGATGCGGCAGTCCAAACCGCCTTCAAAGAGTTTATCGATTCTAACCCCCATGGTATTTTTAGTAAAGGGGTCAATGAACTACCTATGAGATGGCAAAAGTGCATAGATGACAACAGTGCATACTTTGAATAATTACATATATTGTACAAAAAAATTACTTTGAAATTTTCTCCCGCACAAAATGCCAATTTCATATCTAAGGAGTTAATGACCTAATATTTGGTTATTTATTTCAGCAGTATTTTTAATACTAATTTATGGGTGTTTTATTGATGTAAGAAGTTGCTTGGTAATAAAGTTGGAACGTTATTTATACGCCCTAATTTTAAGATATTGTTAAAGATTCCATAATGTCTTATTAAGTAATAAATAACTTTTGCGAAATCCTTAAATTAATAACGACTCTGTAGCACAATTGCCAAGGTGTTGGCTTCGGCTGCGTGGGTACGATTCCCAGACGGAACAACTATTTGTGTGACCCACAGGTAACCGTTTCGGATCTGGGTGTTTGTTCACGTGATGTACGTCACGTTATAAATAAAATAATGTGCTTTTCACAAATTAACATCCTACCGCAAGGGTTCTTCTATTGTAAGTTTGTATCATCCGAGGGATTAATTCGCCGAGGGGTCCGTATTTGAACTTTATCCCGAAATTACGGCCCCGATCTTGCGCTCGGGTGACCGCGTGATAAGTGTTTCTTGGTCAGTGCGATTAATTCTTCGTTTATTTCTCTCCTAAAAGCATCTCTATATTTTCTCCCTTACTATCTTCAGTTTGCTCCACATGATGCGTTTGGTAATGTATTTTGATTTTGTAAGGTGCACGGAAGGATGTAACTTATAGGTTTCACTATTGTGCCAGATGGAATGTTTTTTGAATTATGAATATTTTTTTGTGTGATAAGTTAGCAATCGGACGAAAGTGGTGCACCTGATTATGGATACCTACAACGCTTCAGGGGCAGATGCATTGTCCAGGTTGCAGGTGCAAATGGTGGACTATGGGTACTAGATAACTGATAAACATACTTAAACATACTTTTCTTTTGTAAATTAATACATATTATACATAATATTATATAAACACCGAGACACTTGAAAAACACTATGTTCATCACACAGTATTTTTCCAGTAGTGAGGATCGAACCCACACCCTCTGGCGCAGGAGGCAGGTACACTGTCCACTACGCCATTCAGGTCGTCAATTTCATGTCGCCGGTTCTCCGTAAAGGCGTGGTACTTCCCCGACATAAAACGCGATTACTGAAATTGACGAAACCGTAAATCGGGTTTCAACTTTTACATAATTATCTAACAGAAAAGAATTTCATTACTCCGAACCGTTTATTAAAACGCGGGGAAATCCGTAATTTATAAATAGAGATAGCAAGGTTATGTCCCACTTTAATGATCTCGCGACTAACACGCAAACAACAACAATAAAGGGTAATGAACAGTTACTCTCGGTGATTGCGATTAGAAGGGCCGTCATCATAAGACGAAGCAGGCAGTTCTAACAGTGGAGAGGTATTTATAGATAAAAAATACAGAACCCCAATCAACTAGTTAATCAGAATTAAATGACCTTTTCAGAGAGTTATGTTTAAAAAAGGAAAACTCTGAAATATTAGGTTCGAGATTAAAACAATGGGATTTATTAAAAAAAATCGATGATGCTCACTTAAAAGAAACTTACAATAATTTAAAATAAATTCCGGAAAAGGGCAATGACGTAGGACACAAATGGCGTGTATGTGCAGATTTAATGGTAGTGGCCTTAATTTTATGGTCGCAAATTGCGTTTAGTACATAGTCACAAAATTGTAAAAAATTAATCATTAGTACCATCTGAGAAAATCATTGCACCACTATTAAATCATAAACATCAAACTAGGTTTGGTGAAGAATTTTGTAAATGCACTCCCCATGGACAAACCTGGATTCTTGTTTCTTAAAACACAATTTTTTACATAAAGCGATGGCAGCGTATCACATACTAGGACGGTGCAATGTCGTTGAAAATTTTTCTTACGTCTCCATTTAACTTTCTTTCTGAGTTACGTGAGGGAATTGTTAAAAGATGTCATCAAGAAATTGCAGAGTATGGGAAGCTTTCTTAGACTAGATGCTCATGTAGACTAGTCCTGATGCCTCCGCTAGGATATTACCACTATGGACTATAAAAAGGAGCCGATCGTTTTAAAACATTTTTAATTTAGAATAACAATTTATGTCACTACTTCATACAATTTTAAATAAAATGTGTTTCACTACTAATATGGTTGTGATAAAACAATTTTATTTAAATATTTGAAATACTTTTAAGGTGCCCAATCGCACTTCGTAGCATAGTGTTAAAAATGATGCAACGCGAAGGCACGTCTAAAAATAACATCAATGATCTGAAACTGAACTCTATTACCTGAATAAAGCAAACGATAAAGTTTAGATACTTCTATCTTATGAGCACTCATTTCTGCTGTGTCGCTTGTGTGATTTTCCAGTCGAGCTGTCCTTTTCATACAGTGACTGATATTGTTTAGTGACCCTATTACGGTGCAACATTGTGTTCCATATACTTCACAACGTGTTCTACACAAACGTCTGATACACAGTTGATAGTACCGTACTTATTGTTAAGAATGGTATCAGTTATCACCATCATTTAAGCTGTTATAAAACCAAATAAAATTATGTATTTCATCATGAAGCATACGGGCGCACAACATATATAAGTATCCATATAACCAGATTAATATATATGAATAAATAAGAATTATGTATACGTAATTTCGCTATAACATCTGCGAGAATTCTATTCATGGATGTCGTGTTGGGAATCGAATCCAGTTGGCAACTTAATGCTAAAGTACTCAAACTAACTGCCCCATCGAATCATGATGACTCGGTGGCACAGGCGTCAAGCTATTGGCTTCGGCGTCAGAGGTCGTGTGTTCGATTCCCACATGGAGCAAGTATTTGTGTGACCTACAGCTAAATTGTTCCGGATCCGGCTGTTCGACCGTAAAAACATAGCCAAGGCCAATTTTAACAACCCATATATTATATCGATAGATTGGAGGCCGATGTCTCATACTGACATACATCGCGAAGTAGGCTACAGGAAATTAAAAATACGGACCCGTTACGGCAATATCGTAGGTATTGATGATTTCCAAGATCGCCATAAGTCGAACAAGTTCAACCTATTCTCTGACGAAAGAATGAGAAACGACCTACTTTCACGAGATACCTCCTTCGCCACACTGTCCGTATCGATTGACCGGTGCGGCGATTGTGAAGGACAAAACCTTCCGAGACTAGGCGGACGGGTTTGTCGGCGGATGGCACTTTTTGTCGGATATAATAAGGTAATGTACAGACTTCCTGCTGTAAAGTGGCGCACGCGGCCGCTCGGGCGCCCACTCGCTGCGGCGGTACTGTCGCGGAAAACCGGGCAGCGGCTTCATTCTGGACCGTTCATACAAACGGCGTTCGTATTCTACGAGTAAAATGCTTACGCGACGATAGCGTGCGTGCGAAATTCCGAAGCAAGGTCCATGCTGTGGGGTAGGGGTTGCAATGACTGTTGCCGGTTTTTTGTGGATTAAACTAAGTATTTATAATATTTTGTCTCAAATACATAATATTTAAATATAACGTAGCAAGGACTAACGCAGTAGGCGCGCACTATATAGATGGCACGAATATTATTTTTGGTTTTTTTAATTTTATCTTATAATTTTGTCAACATGGAGTTTTTTATTCGACTGTACTTTAGCATGACAATAGTCAGATTGTAAAATGATCCCGTGGATATATATAGACGTATATGTGAATATTAAGATTGATACAAAGAGAAATAAAAGTATTTCAAAACCTACTAATCCAATCCTATATATCATTCAAATCCATCTATTCTAAACGAATACGACGATAAGGAATTTGATCTCCAAATTAACATTCGATGAATAAAATATTCAGCGTTGCAATATAAAAAAATAAACGTGGTAACAATATTATAATAATCATCTATAAACATAATATTAAAATATCGCTAAATGTTTAATGGGCCATACAGAAGATAGAACTGAAGGTCAGAAAAATTGCAAAAGAAAGAAAAAAACAATCTAAACCGAACAACACGCGCGGCGATGTATAAATTTCGAAGCTCTCCGCGGCCCCGGTCAAATGGTGCAGCAAATATAAATTTATTATGCGGTACATTTCCCTTGTGCCGGATGCAATCAATTTGTGAGCTCCACCGCGGCGCGCGGCCGCGTAGCTCGCTCGCAGTGCTCGGAGGGCCAGCGTCCGCCGCCACCGACGCGACCGTCCGCCGCCGAACGGTCGTCCATGCCACCGCGAGTGGGCCGACTGACACCAGGTCCCGGAGAACTGCTCTGACACCACACCGCCCATAGTCGCCCCGGGAAGTGAGCCGATTTCGGGGGCCGCCCGTCTCCGCGGTTCCGATTTGAAAGTGGCAACGATGACTCTTCGTTCCCGCATCGATTGATTGATTGGCTGCTCGCTCGATTGATCGGCGGTGTAAATTGGCTGCGGTGTAGTGGTATCACGGAAATGTGATACCACTCGAAAGCCGCCACCACGGATAAGTCCAAGAAAGCAGCTAAGCGACAGAAAAGAAAGCGAATATCCGATATGAGGTGAGAGCGCTCGACATTTGTCCGTCGCATTAATAAAGCACCCAACCGATTTCGGTGAAATGAAACTATTTTACGTATTTTCTTAAGTTCGATTTTCAAATCACGACGTTTCGAACACTTCACAGTCTGTAACACGACTATACAGTAGTGTTAGGAACTTCGAAAATATATAATAAAAAAAGCTATAAAAATTCGTAAAACAGTTGGTTTAACCAAGTATTCGCGTAAATACAAGAAATCAATATGTAGGCTAATAAGGTTAATATAAATATAATATTATATTCAGACTTTTATGATGTGCCTTATTTACTGGTGTTTCTTATGTTGTTTTTCAATATATATACAGAAAAATATTCGAATGGCAATTAATCGGAGCTTAATGAAAAGAAGAACGTTTTTCGTCGTGTGTTTTAATCATAAATTAATTCGGCCATAATTGTCATAGCCATAATAGTGTTTACTCTAATTGGTATAACGTTTATGATTTACTTAGCACGCCTTACCGCATAAGTTAACGTACCAGTTAATGTCACAAGAATTGGATATTTTAAAGTGTTATTTCGACATCAAAGCTAGTACCAACTCATCATCGTTATCCCCCTGCCCCTATCCCACCTAGGCGGGGTCGGCGCAACATGCGAATCATGCTGTAAGCGGTTTCGGCTTTGTTTTCTACGACCTGCCGAGTGCATTACGTTGTCCCTCCTTGGGAAACAAAAACAGATTCGGAAAAATTTGTGAAAATTGTTTGGTCATACATACTTGTCCCGTGTTGGAATCGAACCCTTAAACGAACGCCGAAACCAAGAGCGTAGCAACGGCGATACCGGGTCGTGCTAATAGTAAAAACTACTAGATACTTACCTCTCGATCTCGTTTTAGAAGTAAGTTATAAATTACCGACTTATACAATTATAACTCAACAATGACTCAACAATTGGACAAGCTAAGTAATCACAACAAACTGTACTAAAACATTATTGATAAATTGTTATTTACATTAAATATATACCATAATTATAACGATGATAACGGGAAATAATGTATATTTATAAGTATCTAATATCTGTTGTATAAAATTCTTGTGTCACAGTTTTAGTGTTTATGCTCCTCCGAAACGGCTTGACCGATTTTGATGGAATTTTATATGTATATTCAGTAGGTATGAGAATAGATTTATAATATTTTTTTCTACCCTACAAATAATTTATATGGCAAAACAACGTGTGCCGGATCAGCTAGTTTAAATAAAATCATGTTTTTCACTACTTCTATACTATTTTGTCGGTTAACTGGTAGAGAACACCTAATTGTTTTAAGCCATTTTACGATACGTGTATAATGTTTTTAAATAAACAAAAATTCATATAATCACACTAACAAACAAACAGATGAAGAACGAAAAGCAATTTTTGGGCGCGCACTTGAAAATTTCAACTCGAAAATGGGAAGCCGTGACATTGCGTCCTTGTTTCTATCGAGTTTGTGCCTGTTTAATTGGCACCGTCGTCCGCTTTTGCTTTTCCGGGAAGGAAGATGCAAATTATTTCCTATTCCTTTTAGATCGTCTTGTTTGGTCCCGTTAGTCTCAAGATATTGTTGGTTCACATTTTCCTGTATTTGTAGCCAAGGTCTCTAAAATAGATGTAACAGAAACATACGCCATTAATTAGCCGCCCCTTGACGTCTGACTATGCCGATAGACTTTTTTAGATGTTGATGTAGTACACGCACGTAGAGAGTACTACCTGCGTATATCAGTAGATAATACTGAGCCGTCGGGTCTCTTGCTATAGTTGCGAAAATGCCACAGGGCTCCAAAATAGAAGGTATATTGGTGGAAACAAGAGCCCGATGAATGATGTCGTTTATTATGACCATACTTATGATGACCATACTTATCTACATTGACACCACAAGGGCGTTGGCGTGGTTGACGAATCGGGGCTTCCAGACGGATTCCTACAACAACGCGTAACCTTTCTTCGTCAAATAATGTGCCCAACCTAGTGGTTAAGTGTGAAGGCTAAGTGTGAACTCGATTCTTTAGATGAGACGCCTATAAAACGGGCACGCAATGTATCCAAAGATTGAAATTGTTGTGTTAACTTCCGGTGGAATCTTTTGTTTGAACATATAGACAAACAAGACATCCTTGCTGCCTCGGCATTTTGATTTTGAAAGGTCCAAATTTTGATTTAAGACATAAATTATTAGTACCCGGAGAACCGAGCTTTGCTCGGTTTGTTTTTTTTTTTTTTGGTAAATCGTGTATTTTGGAAATTACATTTAGATACAAATTACTGAGTAATGAAATATGCATAATGTTTTTCGATCTTACCGACGTAATAATAAGAAAATATGAACTGATGTTTATCACAAAAGAAAGTAAAGAAAGCAATGATCTGGAATCGAAAAAAAAGTAAAACAATAAAAATGATCGTGACGCGAACCACGGCCGTCTGTTTTGGGGCCGCCCGATTACCGACCGAGCTATTATGACATTTTCTTTTGCGGCGAAATTTAACGTCATATTCGAATTATATTTTTCATTCCCTGAAAACAGGGATAAAATGACTAAAATTTAACTAAGGATAAAATTTTCTAAAAATGAAACCTAGCTAGATCGATTTTTCGCCCCCGAATCTACGCACATACTAAATTTCATGAAAATCGCTGAAGCCGTTTCCGAGATTCTGATTATATATATATATATATATATATATATATATATATATATATATATATATACAAGAATTGCTCGTTTAAAGGATAAGATATAAATTACTAGCTGACCCGGCAAACGTTGTTTTGCCATATAAATTAAAAATTTTTTGGGGTGGACCACCCTTAACATTTAGGGGGATGAAAAATAGATGTTTCCCGATTTTTCACCCTGGCCGATATGCACACAAAACTTCACGAAAATCGGACAAGCCGTTTCAGAGGAGTTCAATTACAAACACCGTGACACAAGAATTTAAAAATTTAAATTTCTAAGAAGCAATGGCGATATCTCTCGTTCGAATTATCGTTGTAAAACGATGTTCGAAATTGTTTGTATGCTGGAAAGGATATAACAATGGATGCGCCAAGCATTGCTTCAAATGCTCAAAAACAATGTAGATAAAAGACGTTAAGATTTTCGTCGCTGTGGCTATCAGCCGTTTAGCTCAGTGGCTAGAGCGTCAGGCCGCGAATGCCGAAGACGTGGGTTCGATTCCCACAGCGGCGACAATCTTTTCGTACTTTTTCTACAACTTTTAACAAGAATTTAATTTAAAAATTTAATATATTAGATTACAAAATTTATTTACGCTATGCATGGAAGCAAAGAAGACGGGTAGAGCGACCTTATTCGCTAAATGAATTGGTATTGGTAATGCTTGAGTCCGGTTTAATTAATAAAGTTTATTGACATTTTGAATGTTTTCCAGAGTCCTAAAATGAAAATCAATGTCGTTCAAGACCTCTTCGCATTTCGAATCTGGAACTATGCGAAGAAAATCTTCCAATTGTCTATGCACAAGTCTCGCTAAGAGGTTCACCGCCTTTTTCGTGTCGCAGGGTCGACTTCCGCGGACTAAAGTGTGCCACGGCGCTCCGTGCTGGGATCAAAGCTGCGATGTACGAAAGCAGCTGCTCATACGCTGGAGCCCTGGAACTGAAGCGAAGCGCCCTGAAGGAGGAGCCCTGGCCGGCGGCAGAATGGCCTCCGTACCGTCTCCATCAGTCTACTTTCGAGCAGCTGAAGCAGAGCGTGGAGAAAGCGAAGGCCGCCCTGCAAGACAGGTCTGGACTGCTGGGCACGGCCACGGCGTTCGGTGACTTTTACGGGGGCCAGCTGGGTCAGGATGCGTCCAGCACAACCCTCGGCTTCGCCAGGACATCAAGGACGGACGAATCCATGCTGGGATCAATAGACAAGAACAAAATCGGTACGTAATTATGACTTATCTTTTTATATATAATTCTTCTGTCGCGTGTGTATGTCACTGAACTGCTAAACGGCTGGACCTATTTTGATGAAATTTGATTCGAAAATGGATTTGCAATTCGGTTCAGTACAAAATGTTTCTTTAATTATTTCTTTATTTATAACTTGTTGGATTTATATTTTAAGGGCCCGGAATTGATGTGCGCTGCGTTTGCGAGTGTATTTAAATGTTAATATTTAGCTGCCGGAAATAGTGTTTACATAGCATGTTTGTATGTAAATGCTCAGGGGCAATCATGTAATTAACACGTTCAATGTTATCCAGCGGGAAACGTGTACAGCACAAACTGTATTAACAATACTAGTAACCATATAACAGACAATTGAATAGCAAAATGTTGCTTACATTTTCAGGTATTTATTTTAAGATTTTAATTTTTTTCTACATATCAAATATCAAATGACAACAACGTACAGATATAGCGTTCGAGATATAACTTAGGCCGCGTTCGAAGCACGTTACAATTTAAAAGTTCCCCACATCAGAGCAAATGCTATGAAGAGGTGAATTTTCACTAACATTAAAGATGGCTCCAAAGCATTAAGGTGTAACCCGTATACGAAGATCTCAGCTAGCCCCGAGGCATTAAATTTAACACCCTCCGCGATACGAGATATCGCAATTTTTAAGGTCCATTGTAGCCGACGTCGAAAGATATCTCACGACACTGCGCGACGTTCCGAAAGAATAAAAATCGATTCTCCGGCCGCTTCGCCGAATGTTACTCTAAGCCGAAGACGCAAAGCCGCAATCGCGTTACGCGCGGCGGAGAGTTGAACCCTTTAAGATCAGCACCGGAGTCTGTAGGTAGAGACGGGCGGGGGTGCGGGCTCCTTGTAAAGATTACAATCGCTACCAAGGGGGCGAATTGGGGGCGTGTGGCCCGCGATGCCCCGCGGTATCCCGGCAAAGCGACCGCCCACCCTCCCCTGAGATCATCCCATTGCCTCTGATAAATGCTGATGAAAATAAAATTTTATCATCCGCGTAGGGTTCATTATTACTCGCCCCGGGGGCAGAGGTAGCTCAGTTGTTACCGACGCGACGGGGCGTTGGAGGCGGTGGAGGCGTCTTGGATTAGATACAAAATCCTTTACCCAACTTTGAGGTTGTTTTCCCCCGCGCTTCAATACCATTCGCAGCCTCGCTTTCATTCCCTACACCAGGCAGCGCTCGAAAAACTGTGGCTAATTAGAAAACTCAGTTTGAACTTCTGCCGCGACGTCAAGGACTGAGTAATTATGGTTCGCAACATGATTTCATGCTTCGACCAAGTGTATTTCAAAAAAACCGACCAAGAGCGAGTCCGTCCCGCGCACGAAGGGTTCCGTACCATTATCTATTACAACGGAATAAAATCATCCCGGTTGTATTGGAATAACACTTAATTATATTTTTTTATTCTGATTTTTAGTATTTTTTGTGATAGGGGGAACAGATATACATCATCTGTGAAAATTTCAAACATCTATCTATCGCGGTTCATGAGATACATACAGCCTGGTGAGAGGGACAGACAGACCGACAGCGGAGTCTTAGTAACATGGTCCCGTTTTACCCTTTGAGTACGGAACCCTAAAAAGTAAAAGTACAGCGACACACTTCATAATATCCTTCTCTAAAATTCAGTATTATCAGCTACTCGTATTCTAATTTCTTTATTTTGTTTTAGTTCGTAATAAACATATAAGTATATCGTTGCGCCATCTCAAAATTACTCAGCGTATCCTGAATTTATTTTTCTTGAGTTTAGGGTTAAAGTTGCAAATTGTTATAGGTGTCGTATACCACCCTAAATGTTGATTACCTCACTGAATTCGAACTGGTACTTGATTCTGTAGGCTCAGAGTATGCACCACGTTATCGCGGGTGATTTTAATACCAATCATCTGTCCCGCAGATCTCACAAAAGACTAAAACTCTTGGATATCATTGGCTCAAAATGGTTTCAGGTTCTATGGCTTAGAATAACCCACCAGTATGACGCCGGTGAAGAAAACATGGCCTGGCTAAATCCTTCCTTGATTTCCTGTCATGGACGACATCCTGCCCCTGCATATTCGCACCATGACTCAATCTTTCAATCCTACTTCTCAAATCCTCCTTAGCCGAATTTGGGACCCTTAATTACACGCAGAGACCGTTACCGTCAAAGACAAAATCCTTAAACATCATCGCTGAACAAAGCCCCATGATATCTATGCCCCAGTGAAAAAAAATCTAGCTGAATTACTTCCAGTTCTCTGGAACTAAAAAAGAAGATCGCTCCAATGAAAAATAGATGTAATCAGATAAACGGCCGGCAGAGAACTCATGTGCATTGAGTTGAGCTTACCATTTGTACATTACATTTTTTATTTCTCTTTTGTATCCTGTGTTTTGTGTACAATAAAAATATAAATAAATAAATAAACAACGGCAAACGCCGTCACGCTCTCGACAACACTACGTAGTCTAATCGTGCCCACAGTGTATATCGGTAAGCCGCGTCTTTCAAACCTCCGTAGTTCTATCGGACTGGATGATCTTAATCTTGTTTTAATTATCACTACTTCGATAGATCATCTGACGACATCTGACAATATTTCCTATTTAAATGTCTTGACATTTACTATTAATATTTCCCTTGATACCAATAACGTTTCTTCGGCACAAACCAAAAAGCAATTATTGCTATTATTAAACCAAATGCAGCTGGTTGTGATAGCATCGGCCGATGCACGATTATTTCTATCCTTCTTCACCTCATACATGCAATCCACTTTATAAAAATTTTTTTTTTTTTTTTCAAATGAATGCATAATAAAGACACAATCTTCAAGTGAACAAAATTAGAATTTATAACAAAAAATAGAATTAGAAGTGAACAAGCTGACTTACATTATTATATTTGCATTCGGTGACTAATGCCACCAATTACGGTATTAGACAAATTGTTTTTATTGTTTATACGAAATTGCATTATCATTCATTAATATCATTAACACTATCCATACTTCCATTCTAATATTATAAATGCGAAAACTGTGACTCTGTCCGTCTGTATGGCTATCACGACAAAACACCGAACCGATTTAAATGAAATTTGGTACACAGATAGTCTAGTAGAGCCTGAGAAAGGACATAGGCTATTTTTAATTGGAAAAAAAGTGTTGTAAAGGGTTGACAATATCTTTTTTTTTTAAATAAATATATTTTTTAAAGAAAGAAATTTATTTACGGAAAACGCGAGCGAGGCCGCTGGCGAAAAACTAGTATTATTAAGGCATCCGCCTTTGTTTTATTATGTCCATAAAGTTTAAATAAATAATTGAACAAACTTAATTACTTTAAAAACTGAAGTAGGTAACTGTTTGTATATAGTCAACAAGTTCTATTATTAACTCTGCTCCAAATAGTTTGACTGTAATTTATGTCTGATCGAGTATCAACTATTAAACTCGCATGAAATTGTCGGTTCCTGCCGCGACACGAGAAGGCATTAGAATTATCCAACAAATGAAAACAAGAAAAGAGGTTTAGTCTCGCTACCTTTGCATTATCTGCGTCGCAAAATATCCTCCGTCTCCAAAACTATCTGGCCAAATGAAAACTCAAAAGGACCCGCGCACGCGGGGCTATCATAAAAAAATCAGAAAGATGCGATCGCGAAAAATAAATCAGGCAGCTGTCACGGCCTTCCCGCCGCAAAGCAGCAGCGAGAGAGCATAAAAATATTTTGCGAGGGAACATTCGGACAAACGGGGGCGTCTCACTCCGCAGCCGCGTAGTCGAATAAAAGGGCGCGTTTCGCTCAGAGGCCGGGAGGCGGCATAAAGGAGCGGCGAGACAATGGCCTCGTATTAACAAGACAATGGACTTTTTGCCATTAAAAATGCCTTTGCGAAAAATGTTAATTCGCAGCGCGCAATTGCGCCGCTGCCGGTGCAGATGCGGTGCGATTCTGCCCTTCCGCAGTTCGCGCGACGCCCTATGAAACCACCCGTGTTTCAGTTCAGTTTCAGCGGGAGCAGAAAGGACAATTAAGAGGCCGTTGCGAGGACGCCTCCGCTCTTTTGTGCTCAAACGTCACATCGTTTCAATCGTAAATGAATCATTTGACGCGTTCCTCTATAGGGGCATCTTGAACCCACCTGCACTTGACAATTAATTATTTGAATTTTTCACAGTTTCATACAAAACAAACAACATAAAAATTAATCAAACCCTATAAAAATTTTAAAGTATACTAATAAATTATTAATACGCGTGTCACATATAGCATGACCGCATGACGGAATTCCACTTTTGAAGACCCATGAGCATTTCCGTTAATTTTACGCCCCCTCAGTATATAAAACCTTTTCAAAGCAGACCCTAGGATGTACATTCTCAACTTACCCCACGCATTTTCCACTGTAAAGGCTCTAAGTTACATTATTATAACTTTAATTCATCCTTTCACTGTGTTCAAGTTATCCCTTTTCTGACGGCATCTTTAACTGGAAATCAAATTTCATAATAACCCAATCCTAAGGAGTCGCACTAAGCACGCTACTTAAGTTAATTTACAATAATGTCAAGGCCTTATATGTCTCATTTATTTAGATTAGATTCAAGGAGCTATAAAGACGTTTAAAAACTTAAGTGCTTTAGTTGTCGTTTACACTTTGACTTTTTGATGCTTGTGCGTATAATTAATTGGAATAAACGTAATGAATTATGCTTTTAAAAGATTTAGTTTGGTCTCATTTGTCGGACAATTTTTTTTATATAAGACGATGGCAAGCGAACTGGCGGTTCACCTGATGATAAGTGATAAAGGCTAAAAATGCATTGCCACCTTTCAATAAAGTGGGCCCCGGCTACCTCACTAACCAGACTAAAAGCAAAAATGGAACACTTGCACTGCACGCTGGTCTTCTGTGAGGTCGTGGTAGCTCACTGACGGGCCTGCCCATTCGTGCAATAGCGAATACTGCGAAGACCGTTTGTGCGGAAAGAATTTATGCATCACAATTATTTTTCTGTTTAGTGTTAATTTCACTGACCAGGTTAATTCATGAAGCGACGCCAGCACATCTGAGTTGTTTTTCCCCGTGGCCATTAATTTCCCGGGAACCCCAGCCGACGGGGCCATTGATGCGGGCCAAGAATACGAAATAAGTAGCTGATAAACATTCAAAATGTATTTACATAATATTCAAATCAGTGCAAAAACGTACGTGCTGCCCTAGCGGCCAGGGCTCTGCTCACCCTATTGTTACAGTCATTAGAAGCTACCTATTAAAATTTATAAGCCCCGGGTGCGGAGTTAAAGAGTTGTTAACACGAAAATGATCGTGATACGCCCCTGTCGACGCTAGAGATGTATTGCGTGTTCCATTTGCGTCGTTATAACGGGTTACATTGTTTTTTTTTTTTTTTTTATTAAACCCATGTAAGATTATTACACATTTAAATAATATTGGATTAAAATGTGTTGTAATCTTAATTAAATCAAACACCTTGATTTATTAGTTTCATATTTACAGTAAAATCTACAGCTGTTCTGCCATCCATACTAAAAGTAAATTAACATCTCTGTCGCCCTGTTAGTCTGTTTATAAATTACTCAGTACGCGTGACTGAGAACACTAAACACAACATGAAACAGGTAACACATCAGTTAAACACATTTGCTACATGACATGAGATTTAGTACACAATTGAATTTTAAAGACTCATCACTTTTTTTTTTCTATGTAATACTCAAATTTTTAAAATAACATTTTTAAGAACTTAAACTTATGCTCTAAGAATTTCATCACCTATGTGATATCTGACCAGATTTATATTTTTATCGAACCTCTAACTAGAGAAGAGGTCGACGTTAATTTAAGCTAGTAACCGTTTTTGGAAGACGCGAACAGCTATCGTCAACAAACACGCGGTACATCAATTATGACGCGTATTTAAGATTGTATCGCGATGGTATATGTAACAATAAATCACGTTACGAGCCGCCCCCGATAGCAGTTTATTGATTTCTTTAATGTTTATTGCGCAAGCGAAAGGGCTGGGGTCGGCTTTTTGTTTTACAATTCATTTTCATTAACACCGCCCGGGGGCACGTTGCCTATTTTTCAGTGATCTAATAGAAAAAAATAACGATATCATTCGATAAATGTATTAGAGTATTCAGTTAGTGCAAGCACCCTTTATAAGACACGTCGTATATTTTTATTATTATCACTCACTAGACGACATGCGAAAGTATACATAATTCTTTTCTGGCGCCGATTCTCTTGACACCGTGGTACTCGCCCATCATGTAGTAACTACTGCATGGTATTGAAACACTAGAGTCACTAAGAGAGCCCCGGAATATACCCCGGAAATACCACCGCCTCGCCGAAGACCGCTAAATGTACTTATATTTACAACTTTCTCCCAAAAAAAGAAATGTATACCACAAAATTAAACAGCAATTAAACATTGTTGTGAGGTTGTCACAATATGTGAATGTTATAGTTCTTTATTTAGCACATTTTAAAATTATTTCATTAAATATCTAGACATTCTCTACAAGGCTTACAGAGTCTACAGTATGTGCTAGTGGCTTATGATGTAGGCAGCATGTTTATTAAGTTTACCAAAGTAAACTAAATACGTCGATTGTTTTTAGTGACTTGTCCCCCAAACAAACAAACCACAAGGTACCATAAAGTATATGTATATTAACTCGGAACAATTTTTTTCATCACTAATTGCAATACGAGTCCGATAAAACACTATGAAATTACACTGGCATACTACTTCAAAACAATTTCCAAGCAATCGTTCTATTCCAAGCATTAGTGTAATACAGTTCTAACAACCCTCGGAATGGTTATGGAATTAAATTGATAAGGCCGCAAAGCGTTTAAAGTACACATAAATAGCTTGAAATGGTTTTACGTTGCTGCTCTGCTGGCTTGTTATAAACACGAGGCTTTTATGGATTTGAATAAAGTGCTTGGCATTTGAATTCAGACGTGGAAGAGGAGAAATCTGATTTGGAGATTTTTTTTTATTTTATCGTTATTTTATTGACCATAGAAGAATCGAGTCGACCATGTTTATAAAAAAGAGAAAAAAAATATATTTCACTTATATTTTTTCTTGGATTTTTGTGTTATACTGTTTATGCCCTTTCAGATAACATTCTACTTTGGCGAACATCAAGTATCTTAATTCAATTTCATGAAAATTTTCCGACGGAAGTGTTTTAACTACTTGCCCTATATAAACAAATAAAATCCTTTCGCCGCGAACAAAGCTAATAATGAAATCAAAATGTTGACAACGGCTTTCCAAAGGGGAGACCGAAGTCGTACAAGTTAAGCCACCGCTAAACCAGTAATCCGCACTCGAAGCTCTCATCTATCCCTTCAGCGTTGTACAAACAAACAATTATTACTCAATCGATGGACGGACGCGTGGATAAATCAGATGCAATGTCACGGGTGGGGTCGGCCCGCGCGTCTTTTAGTTCCACCCGCTGACAATAGATGGCGCGCGACGCTGCGCGCGCGCACGCCGCGTTGTTTTGCCCAGACTCATGGGAACCGTGGCGTGGACAATGAGAACTTAATTGTGCGAAAGATACACCAGTGATGGGCTACCCCCTCGCCCGTTAGATTTATTACGGCCCGTCGAGTGTATCGCCAAATAAATAGTTCCAAAACATATTGCGCGAATGATTCCGCTGCGGAGTGACGCGTTAATTTTATTTTTAGCGTGGGAGCACTTTAACTGTCGCTCGCAATAATGACCTTTTATACGATCCACTTCCGTTTGCTCTTTGGATTTATTCATATACAGACAATTTCTTTTATATACGCTAATTTCATTTGGTAAAACTTTTCTGATTTTCTTTGTCGTTTGTTGAATTCCGTATCTAACACAATTTTGTTTGAAATCGAATATTCATGTAACACAAGATACTATCTTGTGTTACAAGTCACCTTACGATTGTTTTCATTGTCATTTAATCAACTTCGCTTGTCCGCTGTAATTGTCATGCTTTTATTAATTTGCTCTCAATCCTTTTTAGGTTCCGAAAAGATTGCAAGTGGCCTCGGCAAAGGTTATTCTACGCCCACACTATCTGACACACTGCGCGCTACAAAATGCACAGGTCAGTTTGTTTGTTTTTGCTTTTGGTTGTTTGGCACGGCTATAGATTATTAATACAGTCTTACTTATTAATCCAAACTTTTATGTTCTTTTAGTTGTGGTTAGATAAAGATAATTTTATCTGACACTGATCATGGTAATAGTAGCGAGAACTAATCTTTAGACAACCTCCCAGTGTTTCGGGTTATGAAGATGAGGAATTTTCCATTTACCTATAACAATCCCAAAACTGTCCCCAATTTTAATTAAATATGCGATTATTATTTCTAAGTATAAAACTCAATAACCTGATATTATGATTATTTGCGTGACATACAGACTATAGTAAATGAATAGATAAATTTTTATTTATTAAGATATGTAGATAAGACGAAGAAAACTATTTTTTCTAAAATAATATATAACATTTTTTAACTAATATTCCACTTGGCATGGTGCCAAGAACGTTAGCTGCATATCCTCGCTGAATAGTTATGCCTAACCTTGGAGTAAGAAAAGAACCAGCTCTCTTGTCACCAGCCGCGGCAATAATATAAAATTAAATTATATATTATTAGTTACTATTTTTAGAAAAGATATTGGAAAAAATAATCGTTTAGTTAACGTGACAATGAATACCAATCAGAAAGTGTTACGTCACTCCGTGCAAAACATAGGGTTCCGGCTCGAGTATGATTTTGTCCCTCGACTCACTAGAAAAATTTTGTTACGTCAAATTGTACTCGAGTTATGGAGACAGTCGAGAAGGTACACAAATAACTATTACCACACATTAGCACTTTGTTTCTGGTCTGAATTTGTTCGAAATTCTATAAAATTATCTACAGGGCTTTTAGACCGCAGAAAATTAATCTATAGCGGTGGCACCTTTCCTTTCTAATACGTAATTATTTCAGCTAACACGAGCGCAAATGCTATCTAAGGGTTTATCGCCAGCGTTGGTAAATGAAAAAGCGCTCATCACCCCGAACCCCATTTTCCTTTTCCTGTCGACAATTTATTCGTTATGGGTACAGTCCTTATCTCGTGTACGTAAGCGAAACTCCCGCGCTGTTATCTCGCGCCGATGACGTCACCGCTAGCCTGATTAACGACGGCAAAAGTATACGTAGGTCCCAAGGGAAGGCATCCCCCTAAACTATCGATATATTCTGGTTGCATAATCGCATTCCAAAACTTAATTTGTAACAAGAACAAAGTTCCTGTTTGGTGACATTATCAATTAATGGCTAATCAACAATGATGTCGTAATGTTGACCAAAATAAGTCCTCGAATTTTTTACTTTTTTACTAATTTTTGATGTAACACCAAAGGACTATTTGTAGTGTATATCGTAGTATTAAACATCAATACTGTGGTGTCGCGTCGACAATTGCCATGCGAAAGTTACAAGTGACAAAGAAAGAAAGGTTTAAATTATTAATTTTTGTATTATATATTTTTTTTATAGAATAAACAATAATCTTTTTCTTAAAAAAATTGAATATTTGATTTTTGTTTATACCATATTCATTCGTTTCATGAACTAACCTTTTATGCGTAATATTATCTGTGCAATATTAATGTTATCTGTGTATCTGTCAGGTGTAGGTACTGCGAAGGCTCACTTTTTTAAATGTTTGTTAATAAAACAAAAGCCTCCAATTTACAGAGGACGGACACATTACAAAAATATTATAATCATTTCATAATAAACTAAGATACACAGTAAACATCCGTCATAAAAAGTTGCAGGTCTCATCTGTCAGGCAATGAGTACACGCCAGTAAGAGTTCGATAAGCATAAAATCATTTCAAATTAAGCTATGATACATACTAAATATCCGTCGTAGAAAGTTTGCAGGTCACATTTAAGAGGCAATGAGTACACGCCATTAAGAGTCCGATAAACAAAGCGTAATTGACCCAAGCTGCTAAGGCCCCCAGTCGCGGGGTCAATCATCTGCGAACATTAAGTCTTCTACTCCCATCTTGCGTAACGAGGCACAAAGTGTCTGCGCCAGCTTAGATCTCGTTCAGCTCGATTTGCGACATTTAACCGGGCGGCCGAGCACGATGAGCGTCGCTTTGAGTGCATTCAAACTTTTAATTGCCTGTCAGATGAACCCCAATCCTTTGAAGTTGGCCTGCCAACGCAGCCGCGAGGATCATTTCGAGTCTTTTTCGTATTCGATTGCGCGTACAGAGATTTGAATGATTATGCGTAGCGTCGCGCTACGAGCTCTACGATTTTGGCTACAGTATAATACCATTGTACGCTATTATTAAGAACACGAAATAAATCTCTCGTTCGAATTATATTTGTAAAACAATATTCGAAATTGTTTGTATGCTGGAAAGGGTATAACAATGGATGCGCCAAGCATTGCTTCAAATGCTATAAAGCAATGTAGATAAAGCCGTTGAGAATTTATTCGGTGTGGCAATCAGCCGTTTAGCTTAGTGGCTAGAGCGTCAGTGCGAGAATCCCAAAGACGTAGGTTCGATTCCCCCAGCGGTGAAAATCTTTTCGTTCCTTTTTTCTACAAATTTTAACAAGAAATTAAGTTTGAACGGAGTAGTACCAAGAGGTTATTTCTAACATTTAGTACGCTACATCACACATTCATATATTTATCATATTCTCAACCATTAAGACCTATTCCAATCTCATGGCAATAAGATGATGAGACAGCATCGATTTGTACATCGTACATTTCAATTATTTTTACGGGAATTTAGATACGAAGGTAAGTTGAAACGTAATGAGAACTTTATCAAGTCAAGAGAATTTAAAAATATAATTAAATTAGACATTAAGGTCTAGTTCGCTGTAGCTCTTCCATTGTTTATGGCTATATCTAGGCTTTATCTAGGTCGTACAATATGCAGTAATGGTTACACCAAATTTAATCGCAGCTGTAGTCATAAAACTATTGCAAACAATTTTACTTTTAACGTTTCATGCATTCGTCAGTTAAAGTTGTTCTCCTATGGTCATTGCATAGATCTCCATATATATAAACATTAAATATATACGTCATCTACTATACACAGAAATAAAGAATTTCTCCTTATTAAACTATTCTGGTGTTTATCCTCAATACTTAAATTCAGAGTTGCCTATACACGTATAACATCAGATTAGCTGTCCTGTCACAACTACGCACGGGAAAATCTTATTTAGCTTAAACTTGTCATTGTATGTTTCTATATAATTGTATCATTTTATATTTGTATATTACTATACACAATGATCGATCGACATTCGGTCACATTGCAAATGTCAAATACATCTTTTTTTCGTAGATTTCATACTAACCTAAAATTGTTTTCACTTAAATAAAGTAAGACTTAATTCGTTTTGAGATAACGTGGCGTTGCATTTGAACAAAACAATTTTATCAGTAACCAGCCGCAAAACTCGACTAATTTAACAACTGAAGTAATGTTTAATAGCTTGCAACATCGATGCATAATTTTTGATTGCTTTATAAAATATGCAAATAAATTAACATACTTTAACAAATATTAATTTCTCAAATAAAAAACATACCTTGCAGGAAACAACGACGGTAAATTGTAATGATTTCGAATTTCGAGTGTTGCGTTTTTTTTAAGGTTCCCAATTCAAAACAATTGCGACAGCCGTTAGTCACGCGCCGTCCAGGGTGCTTTGTAATTAAGAGCTCTTGTAATGAGAGCACTGCAATGCCTCTATTTAACGACGGCAGTCGAATCGTTTATAGTTCTATCTGCTCTAGTATCGCACAGAATATCGCATCGGAAGTTAATATTAAATGCAGAGAAACTTTTGAAACTTAATTTAAGTTAGCTGTTCGCACAATATCGCGGTTTCTAATGAATGTTACAATTTTACAATGTCACAATTATAATGTGTATATGATGCAAGTGATAACAATATAATTATTTTTAATGACAATTAATGTATTTTTATTATTAGATTTACTTAGTAAAACGTAAGTCCTTTTTTTAACGTTAGCAAAATTCTTTTTAACTTTACTATTAAAACTTAACTATTAAAAGTTAAGCGTTTGCAAGGTCGAACTCTTACCGTCCATTAGGGGTGTTTTTCACATTTAATACAAGTCTGGATGTTTAGCACAATTTACAGGAACAGAACGTACTTTAAAAAATCCCATACCAAAAAAGTCTTAGCCCGTACTTAACAAAGCTCAATGATGGCGCATGAACACGAAATCGTTATCCGTTTAACTAATTAGTCTAAGGCATATCGGTAGAGTTGTTCCGCTGCTTCGCCCCGTCTATTAGGCTGGCACTCGTGAATAAACATTTGCACAAAAGCCAACAGGACAGGGCCCAACGTAGGGTAGACGCGCGTATCGAATTATCGCGCGTGGGACTCCAATATCGAGTGCCCGCTAATTTTCGACGGACACGATTTTTTATCTCGCGCGGTCACAAAAGACAAGCGTTCGCTCTCTAGTGCTGTGCGGGGAGGTAGTGTAATTATTTCGTGGAATTTTGGCGAGGTTGAGCAGGAAGCTAATTTTTTATCGCGTCACATTGTACCATATTGAAATTTAAACTCCTTCGAAACGGCTCGACCGATTTTCGTGAAATTTTGTGTGCATTATGGCTGGAAAATTGGACAACATCCATTTTCGTCCCCTAAATGTTAAGGGTGGTCCACCCCAAATTTTTTTTTATTTTATATATAATATTTTTGTTTTTATTTTTTTATGATACAGCATACAAAAATTCACTCAACCCTAAATTTTCACCCCTCTACGGAGACGTAGTCGCGGGCAGCAGCTAGTTATAATATATACATAATATAATTTTTTTAATAAAATAATACAATAAATTGAGTTTGTAATAGCGGACCTTTGCGACAATTTTATTGTCGTTCGTCGGTGAGACAATTTGATTTTTTGTTAACGACAACAATTAATTTTATCGACAACCGCAAAGCACACCACTGGCCCGACACGCTTACCCTAATTGGCGCTGAGTGTACAATCCCGAATCACTCCGGCACTCAATTGAGCAGTCAATCATTCTGTCCCGGCGCGTCGTTCCGGTGTCCCGCTAACTGGGTGGGTGGTGCCGGTCACGGTTGCACGGTATCGGCGGCGGCGGATTAGTCGCGGGTTCGGTGCTCAATTCGCCTAATGAAGACACCCCCCGTGGGAACGCTTGGCGTTATTTACGTTCGGATGAACTGTCAGTTATTCGGACAGATGTCATTCGAACTTTAACCGTCAACGCTACGCGTTTAAGTATTTTCTTCTTTTAGTTGGCGATTGCATTTAATAAGTTGTAACTGGTCCAAGGTTTTGATGAACCGTGATAGCCAAGTGTCTTTTAATTAAATAATAGTATAGTAGAACAACCTGAATTCAAATCGCAATGCTGACACTGGACGCGTGCTGGACTAGTCATGTGTTCAGCAAGTAAGGAAAACATCGCGAGGAAACCTGCGTATTTTCGAAATAATAACAAAAAATATTTCGAACATGTGAAAGCTGCCCACCAGTGGGATATAAATAGGCCATTACTTTAATTTGCATTAGTCCAAGTTTCCAAATTAACTAAAACTTATCGTAAGCTTAAAGAAACTTAATATTAAGCAAACTATATTTTCACACGAATAAATTTAAAATTTTAATTAATTACCCGATCCTGCACGCTTTATAACGCATTAAGTTCTAAAGAAATTGTAACACATATCAAATTAGCTGCCAATTTCGGCAGCCGTTGACCGGAAATAGTGAGTGAAATCTTACAGAAAGCTTTGTGATAAAATTGACTTGCATTAGGCCCTCCAATATATCTACAATTTGCTTCCACCTTCTTGTAAACAAAAACGTTATACATATATTAACTAACTGTATTGTTCAGTTAAATAATTAAACCTTTTAAAATTGCAAAGTGCTTAGCAAAGAGCAAAGCTCAAGTATGTTGAAAATTAAAAAAAAAAACAACTAAATCATTGCAAATTATCCTACGTGCATTATATTTGATTGAATTTGATTATAAAACTGTTTATTATCAATTTTCAAGATTATAATACATAGCGCAACTTCTTACCCTAGTTGATGTTGGCTCCCCGATTTTGCTACTCAGTATGGGTATGCTAATAAGGCAGCAACCTCGACACCAGCATTAAGATTACAAACTATCGGGTGCCGGCCCCTAAGCCCCACCCCGACTGGCTTTATTGCCCGAGACAGAGTTAACAAAATAAATGGCTTAAATTCTACACCCGTAATGAATACATAGGAGGGATGCTGAGTAAATCATTGTTACGTTGCATTTTGGGCGATGCTGTTTAAGCCTCTGGTCCAAGTTAACAGCGGGTGGTGTCATTATTATTTACGTTAAGTTTATCGTGCTAAACTGCTTCGACGATGAAAAGTTCAGTTTAGACCGAAGTGCTAGAGTAGAGAAAACTATTCGACATGTAGCTCAATACATATTATTATATTATTTTTGATAATAATTACAATTTTTTTAAAATAAAAACAAGCTTAGTAACAAAGTATTGATTACATTAAACAAAAACGAGCAAAAAAATCATGATTAGCGCAAATTTAGCTAGTGGTTTTTCGCCTGCGTGTTCCAAATCCAAACGAAAAGAAAATCATAAGTGAGTATGCGTTTCCGCATTCCGCTGCCGCTTACGAATTGAGCGGTCGCGCTCCGGCACGCGTCGACCGGATACAGTCGCCGAGCGCGTGCGCCTACGTTACTAACGCTCAATGGGACGCGCGGAGGCGCACTTAAAACATTTTTATTATGAACGAGGGTTGAAGCGTCATTGTCGACCCTCCCCACGGGTTTTTAAGGAACGCAACATATCTCGCGAACTTAGTTGTCGAGAAACAGACACCGGTTTTCCTCTGGCCATAGAGTACATTGGATATACAAATGGAAATATATTTACAATAATATAACGTAAAGACTCCTACTGAACTGTACGACTTACAAAAGCTAATGAACTTCCTGTTAATTGTAATTAAAAACTTGTAATAACCGTTTAAGGTAATGCTGTACAAGTTTAGTTTTCTAAGCAAATAAATATAGGTGTTAAGTGTATTGTTATCTGGTTAATATTAACCCAAATAGGGTAAAATATAAAACTGATGGAATTGACGATAATAAATATTTTTAATCAAAATTATTGACCAAAATACAATCTATCATATATATAAAATATCAAAAGAAGTCTGTATTACCAGACCAGCTTGACATAACAAATAAAGAATTATAAAAAGTGACAATGTCAGTCACTGTCGCTATGGGTTTCTTTAATCCAAGTTAGGTATATTTTTCAGTGATGGTGTTCAAATTAAAATCACAAGTTATTTTGATAGAAACAATCCTTTACTAAATTGTCTTAAGTAGAACTTAAATAGATTTATAGACACTTTTCAAACTACTATTACTCCCATTTAAATAATGGCAAGCAAGGAATATTATGAACGTTGGTTGAAAATAAGAACGGAACTGGAACAAGCCCTGATTGCAGATCAGAAACTGGATGACTTAGCAAAGGCAGAAATAGGTATAAAGCCTCAAGGCACCGCTGTGGAAATAGTTGGTAGAGTGTATGCTCAGTATTGTACATTGTATAACAAGTTGTGTGAATACTATGATCAAATGGATCAAGTACAGCGACGTCCTTACATTAGGAAGATAATTGATGCAATAACTTGTCGTCTGTTGGAATTGAAATCAACATTAGAGGCTGTGGAAGTCTTTGAATTTACATATCCTGAAAACGCACTACAACAAATGCTAATAATACCACAGGATATAGAAATATTATGCCCATTCTTCTATCCACTTGAAACGAGACAGCAAGAAATGCAGTATATCATAGATCAAATATTCGCGGGCAATCGCATAGGTGACTTGACTCCTTCACCGTCTGAAATGGAGCGCCAAGAGCAAGCACGTATAGAAGAAGATGCAAGACTCCAAGAAGAGAAGGAAGCAGAGTTAAAAAGAAGGTTAGCCATGGGTGAGGAAATCGAATCAATTCATTCGGAGGAAATAAGTCCTGAAGAGAGAGAAAACAGAAGGTTAGAGGACGAATACAAGAGACACGTTAGGAATATACAGCGAATGGAGCGATCAAGGTTCGTAATAAGAGAAAAGAATAAAAAATTCAATAAAGATACCGCTTTATATTTGGAGCTCGCAGGCTTGAAGAAACCAGAAGCCTCAGAAGAAATGAAACAAAGAGCAGCTGCATTTATCCAAAACATTTATAGGCAATTTATGAACATAAAACGGAAACAACTTAGAGAAAAAAGGCTTAGGGAAAAATTAGAAATGATCATACCCGCGCAACCAATGCCATCCACTAAGACCGAGCTGCGAAATGTTCAAGAAATAAGACGAAGGTTTAGACAAAATTATTACGAGAAGTGGCTTAAAGAAAATATTAAGGAAAAAACTCGCATATTACAATTGAAAGAAGGTTATATCATGGATGATATCACTACTGAAATTAGAGAATGGTTTCGGGTATGGTATAATAAAGTCCGCACATTTGATGAGTTTCCATGGCCGGAGGAAGGAGGTTCGATTTTAGTTGTCACGGGTGAAACCTTTACTATTGAAGAATACATCGAATGGAGAACTGCTGAAGAAAAGAGGCTTAAAGAAGAATCTGGCAATCCGAAATCTAAAGAGCAAATTAAAGCAGAAAAACTACAGGCTAAAATGGAAAAACGACGTTTAGAGAAAGAAGCTATGGAAAAAGAGAAAAAACGTTTGCTTGATTACAAAAAATCTCGACTTAATCCAGATAATGATCCTGGTGTTTATATCAAAGTAAGTGAACACAATGATGATTTACAAGAGGCATGGAAAGATTACCTAAACCAATGGAAAGACATTGATCTACCAAATGTTCCCATTGACGTTATTAAAGGCTTTATAAAAGACTTATTAATAGAAAACGTATACCAAGACATAAATTTACAACTGCGGTCGATTGTGGACGAAATGATGAGATTAGAATTAAATGAATTAAAATTATCGCTCAAAAAGGACTATCTAGCGGCTGGTATAAACAAGCTTCCTCTGGTCGAAAAAAGAAAAAAACCAAAAAAAAATAAATTGCCTAAGCCCGACAAAATACCCCCAGCTACTATGTTTCAAGAGTTATTCGATCAAAAGATAATAAAAGTTCATCCTCGTTTGACCCTTGAAGATTTTTGGGGTGATCGTAACTATGCTGCAGCGGACATGAGAGCAGTTGAATGGACGCCATCTTTTCCTCCGCCTTGTTTAGGTGATGTACGAGAACAAGTAAGGGTGCGTTGTTTGTTAGCACTTGGATCATCTTGTTCAAACGCACACCGATCTCAACTTCTTGTCGGTCCTAAGAAGTCGGGCAAGAAAACTCTCATATATGCCTTAGCAACAGAAACCAATGCGCTGTTAATAGATTTGTCACCAAAGAATATATATGACAAATATCCTGGTCCAAAAAACTTAAAAAAAATGTTTCATTACGTTAACCGAATAAGTAGACTGATGCAACCTACTATCATCATGGTGGGCGACACTGATAAAGTATTCTATAAAAAAGTACCACCCGAAGAGAAAATGATCGATCCAACACGGCTGCAGAGAGATTTTTTTAAGGAAATTGTCAAACCAATAACGGATAATGATAAAATTTTAGTAATAGGAACGGCATCCGAACCATGGTTATCAAAATCGGCTCCAATGGCTAAGGCATTTCCATCTCTAATCTTGTTTCCAATGTCAGATTATGGTAGTATATCATATATTCTAAAGAATAATCTAATGAAATATCACGCTGTCAACAGGGATTTTAATGTACATAGTTTAGCTCAAGTATTGAGAGGTTTTGATATAGACACCATCAAGAGGGGTCTCCAAACTGTTTTAGACGGGAGCCGAATAGCGAAGCTGTACCACAAGCCGTTAGACCCTGTGGAAATACTAGAAGCTGTGATGGATGATAGTGAAGGCAGCTACATCGATCCATCTGACTATGAAATGTTTACGCAATGGTATTTGTCATTTTCTCCTTGGGGCCAAGAATATTTGTATTATATGAACATGCTAGAGTCACAACTTGCTTATAAGATGAAAAATGATAAGAAAAAGAAAAAATGACCCCGATATCGGTAATAGTATCTTCAGTTAATAACATATTAATAATTCAACAGCCAAATTAATCAGTACGTTAATGACCATTAAAGCTGAATATATTGAGTATTTTTATATACACCATTTTAAAATTTTTGAAACATTTATCCAACTTTCTATTCTATTTACATTACACCTTTGTGTTGCTTTCATTTAGTTCACGGATTTAGGATAATTATAATTTTTTGTATATTTATTATTCATTATCTACTATATTACAATATTTGTTTGTAATATAATTTATCATAATAATAAGTACCCGGAGGACCGAGCTTTGCTCGGTAGGTTTTTTTTTTGGTAAATCGTGTGTTTTGGAAATTACATTTAGATACAAATTACTGAGTAATGAAATATGCATAATATTTTTCGATCTTACCGACGTAATAATAAGAAAATATGAACTGATGTTTTTCGCAAAAGAAAGAACTTTAAAAAAAAGGGAAAAAATAACAAAATAACAAATCGACAAAAAATTAAAAATAAAGAAAGCAATGATCAGGAATCGAAAAAAAGTAAAAAAATAAATGTGTAAATGATCGTGACACGAACCACGGCCTTCTGTTTCGGGGCTGCCCGATTACCGACCGAGCTATTATAACATATTTTTGCGGCGTAATTTACCGTCGTATTCGAATGATATTTTTCATTCCCTGAAAACAGGGATAAAAGGACATTTTCTAAAAATGAAACCTAGATGGATCGATTTTTCGCCCCCGAATCTACGCACATACTAAATTTCATTAATATCGCTGGAGCCGTTTCCGAGATTCCGATTATATATATATATATATATATACAAGAATTGCTCGTTTAAAGGATAAGAATATGGTGGTATGGCCACGCAACAGTATTTACTTTTGCACGAATGATAATCTTGAAATTTATAGCCATATATATATATATATATATATATATATATATATATATATATATATATATATATATATATATATATATATATATATATATATATATGAATGGGTCTATAGCCGTATGTATATGAATGGACAAGTCCATCCGGTTCTGTAAAATAAAGTTACCTTACAGAAGATCAGGTGAACCGCAATATTATGTAATAATCGCCGCCGCTCGTTTGTCACTTTCAAATTAAAAAAATATATTATTAATCACTTCAAACTGCCCCTAAGTTCTACATTTCACCCGTGCGAAACTGGGTAGGTTCACTAGTTAATATGGCAATGAAATTCATCCTGAGGTCGGTTCAACTTTAAAATTTACCTTCTGCTCTATCTAAAATATTATTAAATCAGAGGCAGCAAGCAAAGTAACACCATACCTTTACCATACGTAAAATTTTAAACAAATATGAAAACATCATTGCGAGTATGTAAATATAACGTAATATAATCTCAAAATATGAAAACGAATCGCTTTTTTAAACATAAAGATATTAGAAACGATTAAATATAATACTGTAAAAAATTTACTAAATACAACATGAATTTTAGCAACCCTCAGCATCCATCACTATACCTGTTGATGTGAGACACTGTCGACTGTCTTGTTTAAATAAAAACATGCGCAATATTTCATATGAATTCAACGCTGTGTAAAAGTTTCATAACGATCGGTAAAAATTTTAGGAAAATTGAGATACTGAGCAAACGAACACAAAATTATTATATAGATCTTGTTATTAACGACAAGCTGGCAGCACTATCGCTAAGCCATGGAGTAAAATAAACAACAAAAATCGTTTCAAAACTAAACTGCCTTACAAGTTCGTCTACACTACAAGAGAGGTCGCCTATACCCACGTTACGAACGCCATTTTGATTAAAACTGTAAATCATAGATGGCGCTTGCAACAATTCAAATTTTGCAAAACGTACTCCACAACGTTCAATTCTTTTACGAAATTTTCATCTTTTTTTTTCTTTGTACCCTTGCTATTTCGATAAGTGGAATATCCTTATATTTTATTATTTATTTAAGAATTGCTTTAAAGAAAGAATCATACTACGATGCCATATTTTGCTGTTTTATTTAAAAATAGCTTTCATCGAATCTTTGCCCCGTCTATTTTTACTGGACTCCGAACGGCGTCGTCTAACGTGAAAATAGTAGTTAACCCACGTGCATAATTAGGGCTCGTATCGTGAGCGCGGCGGGCACTCGACACCGCAATCTGTCAGTCGACCGGAGCGCCCAATAACGGCGGCTTCCCCGAAACTGGGTCGGTGTCGGGTGCTCCTCGAACAATGGCTGGAGACTAGATGCGCCCACACCCGCCGCCGGATGCCGCTGTCTCCGCGCCCCGCCGCCATTTCCGCGCGAGACCGGAGCGAGGCGGAGCGTTTCCGCCGAGTCTACCGCCACCTCCACAATGGATCCTTCATATCTTCCCAGCGCTAATCTCGCACGGAGGTGATGCTTTAAGATGACTCCTTTGTCGTTATGTCAATATTAAACTATCATATTAAAATTTATATAGACACATGAAAGTTTGGTTGCGTAATAACAGATTACAAGAGCGATTTTTTGCGTAACGATGATTTGCGCACACTTTTTAAAATGCATATATTTCTCAACTCTTAGAATAAAGCTTAGATTTTTTATGACGCTATTTAAATCTATATTTATTATAAATGCAATATATAACTTTAAGGTAGTAAACGGTCTTTATCGCTTTAGCAGGCTTTAGATAAAGCGTTAAAAACTGTACAAAGATAAAATAAAGATTATTTTAGATTAAAGATTTTACGGTAGTAGGGCCACGCAGCAGCCTCGGCTGTTGCACGAATGGGCAGGCCCGTCCGGGTAACTAACTACCACGACCTCACAGAAGACCAGCGTAAAGTGGAAGTATGACAAATATTTTCGCGTTTCGTCTTGTGAATGAGGTAGACGGAGCCCAACTTTCAAAAGGTTGTCATCGCATCTGTAACCTCGGGTGTAGCGGATGTCCATGAGCCGCGGTATTTACTTACCATCAGGTCTGCTCGTTAGGCTACTTTTCACATAAAAAAAAAAGATTACAACTTTAGCAGATATCATTTATTTTATTTTTTATTATTCTAGTTTATCTTTAGGTTTTTCCTTTGACTATTTATTTGTAAATATTGTCCAGAAATAAATAACTTACGACGGGCTTGCTTTACAATTATGTGTATTAATTATAATATAAATTTATCCTCTCACGATACACAGTGAAATAATTAAGAAAAGGCTTCTGAAAACGGTAGCAAGGCGCTGCTTTTTAATTATGTGCCGCCGTATTGCACCATAGAAACGTTAAAGTTGCATTTAATTCATATCGGAGCGAGTGTCGTACAGATATTCAAGCGAGACAGACACGTTGCCTTATCCCAAGTTAATTTAAAATTAATACAGGCAGGCGGCGCGCAGGAAATGAGCTTAGAAACGGCGGTCGTGGGGTGGGGGGTGGGGTTAGGGTTGTGGGGGTGGCACGTGGATGGAAACGGCGAATTAGCTGGAATGGTCGATATAATTTGGTAACCGACGCCCATGCCGTCGCGAGTGACGCGCCACGCGCCGCTTTCCTCAACCGGGTCTATAGCGTTTTCCCTTTGAGACTTTGAGACTTTTCCCGCTACCGCATTTCGTCTCGCCAATTGTATTTGTTCGCCACGTTCGACTCTAGTAATTAGATTAATTATCCTCAACGGTAAGTTGAAACAGCAGCATCTTCTAAACATGCGATGAATTATGGACAAAAAAATCATCACTAAAACCGTCTGTTATTATTTGGTTACACTCACTACAATATCCAAAATAAAATTATCGCATATATATTCTTAATTTTGAAATTGTGGGCGAGCTAAACTAAAATAAGACGCCCGATCTAATTCTAGATACACAAAATGTTTATTGTTTGGCTAGAAGCTTTTAACTGTTCACACAAACTGAGTTCCATTTAAATTAATCAAAGGCTTTGAGGGATAAATGAAGGCAGTCTATTTTGTTGTTTTATTCATTAATTCAAAGTAATAAATATTTTAATTAAATACAAAAGAGGCTTCTGTGTTTTTTAAGATACCAATTTTCCTATATAAACTAAGTTAATCCTCGCGTACACGCTAGGAAGAATGGAAAAGCTAGATAGAGCTAAAATCGAGTCTTGATGAAGTAAATTTTGATATAAATAGAAATTCTGATTCTCGCAAAGTCGAATAGTCTCTGATTTCTTACATTTCTTATACATCATAAGGGTTGTTTGAATCTTGAGTCATGTCAATGCCATGACGGTGCATATTCTAACCATACGCATGTTTCGTCAAACTCTTGCAAGTGGAACAATAACTGCTGAATGCTGCGGCATAAAACTGCCATTTCTCCCAGGAAGATATAGCAACAACACAGAGATGACTGAAGCGCAAATATATTTAGATATTATGACGCCTAAGCACCTCAAATCTTTGTCGTGCAGTCAACGGAGTGAGCTTATATAATCGCATTTCGTACGCCTGTTCGTCGAATCGATGTGCTATCATGGAAATCGACTTGAAATGTTCAGACGCCCGCGCGATATATGGAAATTCGTTGCGCCCGCATTGGCTTTCCTAGACACCAGCGCAGCCGGTGGCGGATATTGACAGAATGATCCACTCAAGCTGAAAGGCTGTGTCGCTCTACACGTCTAGCTCGCGTATAGACATTGCAGTCAGACCCGTTCATCTCGAGACTGCAGTACGGGTGAGAAGTACGAAGAGAATTGGACAATTCAATTTGAGGGCTCTGTTCGTGAACACGAAAGTCGCGCGGTGAATTGGCGTGCTTTCAAAACGAATGGAACGTGTCAAACATAATAATTATTATTACACAACTGTCTGCAACAAAGAAAGGGACTCCGCGATTGTTTGCTTTAATATTTGCAATTGTATGCCCTTTATGTTACTTTGGCAATATCGAGTCGTAATCTCCATTAATCTAGACGTCAAATGAAAACCCTTAGAAGAGAAGAATAGCCGGCTATAAACTTTAAAATTGTCATGAGCTGACCACATTTTTTAAAATTTAGCCACTCGCTTGCGAAGTCTTTGCCAGGCAACTGACTTTTATAAGCCATTGATTAAAAAAATATCCCGTGACAGTACTATTAGTTTGTGAAAAAGAGATTTAATGTGATTCATAATGGTTTTAATAAATTTACTTGGAATTATATAATAAAGTTACCTACTGGCTACTACATTAGTAACCGTTACACGGAGGCTTACGACCACCCTACGTTTGCGAACTCTACTAAACTCGGGCTTAAAACCAACCTACGTTTACGAACTTTACTAAACTCGGGCTTACGACCAACCTACGTTTGCGAACTTTACTAAACTCGGGCTTACGATCAACCTACGTTTGCGAACTTTACTAAACTCGGGCTTAGGACCAACCTACGTTTACGAACTTTACTAAACTCGGGATTACGACCAACCTACATTTGCGAACTTTACTAAACTTGGGTTACGACCAACCTACGATTGCGAACTTTACTAAACTCAGGCTTACGACCAACCTACGTTTCTGGACTTTACTAAACTCGCTGTTAAGAAACTATCTCTTTTAACGGTAACCAATTAAAGGTTAATAATAGACAGTAAGATTCATAGATTTACGTAACTTTATTATTACAGAACGATTCGATTTAATGCCCATGTGCACACGCGAAATAATAATAGCATATCCACACGTTGAAAACGTTCCGAATGGATATTTCGATTACAGGCCGGAATATAGCTGCGACAGCCTGATAAAAAGTTGAATGTCTTTATTGAAAAAGTTTCGACGGGAACTCTTTAATTATCGACCGAGTGGATGGCGGCCTTTAAAAATCTGTTTTCCGTGATGGTAGGTATGTAAGAGTTTAATTTCACTGTTCAATATTTATTACTCATTGTAACTATATGTATTCTTTTTGTAATTGTTTCTTTTTTATATTTTTACCGTAATTTTAGTTTGATTTTTATATTATTATACTGTTTGTACTTCATTTTTTTTTGTTTTTTCTCCACTGTCTGTTAAAAACTAGTAATTAGCTATAATTAAGTGGTAACTTATCAGTTACTTCTAAGCCTTTTATATTTACTATGTTTCGATGTGTGCTTCGTTTGTATTAAAAAAAAAAAATTTATTAAACGCATTTCGCCGGCTTTTGTAATGTATTAAATATATTGAAAAGGACGGCAACTTATCCTTAAGCGTTGCGATTGGCTTGGCCTTTTTCAAGTCCGCGTGTATGTTTTTAAACGGCCTTGAAACTTCGCACTCGACGTGGCTCAAGAAGTTTTATGTAAATGAAATGCCCTTCTATTACGGAGCATTTAGATGGAGTTGTTAACTGAAAATGCGAGAGCTCTCTGCTATTTTACCGCATTCGACATTTCACCTCTGTGTCGCTAAATTTACGCGGTGAGATAATATAGCTAACATATCACCGTATCACATGATTAGAGTCGAATGTATATTTACTGCATTATATTAATTTTACAGTGAAAAAAATTTTGAATTAAGATTAATTATTTACAATTTTCTCAGATTTAAAATATAAAAATTCTACCTTGTCCTTTTTTATGTATAAATTTAATTTAATTTTATAAACGTAGTTAGTTAGCAGATTTAAATTTTTTATTTTCTGGTATGTTAACGAACTATTCGAGGGTTTATGTTCACCTAATAAAATAATTAAATAAAAATATTTAATTACGAATTTAGTGAAGTTTAATCATCATAACAATAAATAATGCTATTATTTATCTAAGTTCAAATTATTCTCAGCTTAAAATTTAATATCATACTTTACACCCGACCCTCCTAATTAAAAAAAGGCTCTTAACTAAGAAGCAATCTTATAATCGAGCAACCAATAGTATCTGAGATTTTATATAAACAAATTTAAAAAAACCAAAGATTTAATCCGAGTCCGCCCGCCCGCCCTAGCGGAGCGACAACGCAGCGACCGGAAGCACGAAGGACGGCAACCTCGCAACGCCATCGATCACTACACACACAAGCGCAGTACTCGCTTTGCACACAGACAATCACACCCACAAGCTAACGGGAGGTGTCATGGGCTTTTTTTTGCGGCGCTAAATTTTAGATTGCCTGGAGTCTTCGTACGAATGGGGCCCACATTGAATTACTTGGGCGGCGCGTTGTATATATAAATACGTGTATTGACGCTACTTTATCTATCGGTGACGGAGGATTTTAATTTGATGTCACATAACACAATGACTCGATGGCGCAGTTACTAAGATTTGACGCAAGGCTCGACGGTTCGATTTGAAGCCAGGGCTCACCACTAATTATTGTTTATTCCCAAAAAACCGTCAGGCGCCCGACCGGTCGTAAAGAACCTAGCCGATATGAGTAACAACATGAAGCGAACTACGTGAATA